CTTTAATCTGCCCGTTTGGAAGTTCTGGTCTTGCCACTGGACCGTAGCTGTCGATGTTGCGATAAGCAGCACCACAGTGCCTGCAGGCATGTTCCTTACCAAGTTGTCATCTGTTTTTGGAGTGCCTCGTAAAGGCTGCTTCGTGATTCCATTTCAAGTGGTTTTCTGATGCTTCAATTTGCCAAGCTGATGAAGTTGAAATACTGCTTCTTTCTTTGTCTTCGTCCTTGCCTTTAATATTGGATGTGTCTATCAAACCAGATACTTTCACAATGAAGATTTCTTTTCTTCCATGACCAGAAAAATCATTTTCTTACTTTGAAAGAAATACCTTGCTAATGTGTGTCTGAGGTGTATAGAAGTGTAGAAGGCGTATCTGTCATTCCACGGGCCAAACTATATGTGCAGTGAAAGAGAGATGAAGTCATAAAAGTGTGTGTATGGATTTGTTGCTTTTTGATCAATATGGGGAGAGTACAGCTGTCTAGCTGTGGATTGCTGGCACCACGTGAGGATATTTGCCTTTTATTGTCAGGATTTGATTTGGTATTTTGTTTGACAGGGACTGTCAGTAGGTTCCCTTTTTTGCAAGGATGGTTGGAATATGAAGGTCCCCAGCACAAGGTGCAATCTACTCACATAAGCTTCCTTGCCCTAAAGAGAGCAAGCAGTGCAAATGGAGCTCTGAAAAGATACAGCCAGGTGGAAAGCTTAGGGGAACTGCAAGAGTGGAAAAGTCAGAGCAGAGAGGTTCAAACCTATTGAATCCAGTCTGTCTGTCTGTTTCCATGCTCTTGCTCTTCTGTGTCTGATCCAGTCTTCTGTTGTTCCAGCTTGTAACCTCTTAGCCCCCTGACTACCTTTCATGGGTTTATTTTTACACCAGGCAATACAGTACAGAGGAAATCACTTCGGGATAGTAGTCAGTGTATAAGGAATGAGCTTCTAGTGGTTCAGTGTTGATCTTTTAATAGTGAAATTAACATTAATCATACTGCCACTGCATAAACATAGATGTTTGCATATAACTCATTTAGCATCCATAAGCAGACAATGTTTTCTTAGGTTTGTTTGTCTAATTTCTTAAACAATTTTTGGTCTGAAGTTTAAAGTCGGTTTACATTACTTAACTGTCACAAGCAGGGTATCATTTGGAATTGTTTGGCCCCTGTTCATGCAAGGTGCTCATGTTATTGATATTCACCTGCTTACCTAAGTTTAATTGTTTGTATAATCATTAATTACAACTTAATTGCTAATATACTAATGGAACAGAAACACAGCGAAGAGTTGAACACAGCTCAAGCAAGCTTGCTTTTCTTAATTCAAGTGAGTATTTGTGATCCTGCTTTTCCAATATCTGTCCATTTTGTCTTGTGATACATTAATACTTAGGGAATATTTCGGTTAAGTGTTAGGAATGACTGAACAGTTTTGTTTCATTCTAGGAGTTCTTTTCATTCAGAAAAAAAATAATAAAAGCAGTGGTGTAGGAAGCTTGTCTGCAGTCAGTATACACAAATGCTGTCTGCTGAACTTATGCTTATGTAATTCTCTGAATACTCCTTTACTAGCATACCATGAATAAGAAATTCAGTGGATAAGAAATAAAAATACTTCTGAAGGAAGTAGCTGTAATAGTGACCATTATAAAGGAATCTTCATCATTTCTTCTATTACCTGCACCAGTGTTTGCTAGTCAAAATAAGAGGGAATTGAAAAGTTACTATTTTTGGCTACTGAGTGCTAAATGTAGATATGACTTGACAGCAATTGCCTATTCCTTTCTACCATCAATTCTAATGCTCTGTTGCTCATTTATAAAGGTTTGGTTTGTAAGAAGATGCATTTAGCAGAAAATTATTCTTCTTCTTTTAGAGCTTGTTTGCAGTATATTTGTCAACAATTGCTATTGAGTAGATGGGGTACAGAGAGATGAGAAATCTGGAGTACTTCCCTTGCTGAGGCATTGGCTGATCATTGAAAAAAATCTACAGAAGGTACAGAAAGCAATCCATGGTAACCTGGAATATTTAGAATGGGTAAATAAGAGCTTCACCCATGAAACTTATCTGGGAAGTCTGTAGAAGCCAGAGCAAACTGTGGACAAGTTGCTCTGAGTCTGAAGCCCCTTCAAAAATTAAAAAAAAAAAAAAATAGGACAGTCATCATTCATTTAAACTCTTAAATGATGCTGGTGCAAAGTGAGTGATGCAAACTGAGGAAGAGCTTCTAACACTGGATAAGAGCAACAAGGGAATGCCTTTGAAAAAACAATGTTGTGACTTTCCCTCTGCTTACTGCTGGACAGAGTGGGCTTTGCCTTGTTGTTCTGTAAAGGTCAAGTAGAAAGTAGTGATATAGTACTAAGTATGAAGACTTCAGTTCCAATTATGAATCAAATAAAAATCAGAGACTATTTCCTCAGTCAGAACATTTGGCACAAGTCTTACGTCTGTAGCAGTGTCCTCCCTTCCAGTCAAGAGTAACGTGCCTTTGGGAAATGGCAAATAAATGATGAGTGTTGGAAATCATGTTGCCTTACCTGGGCAATGGTAACATCTTGCTGGAAATCTCTAATTGGTAAGATTTAGCCCAATCTCCTAGATAGTGCCATTTGCTCTGGGTTGTTGGTTGCCCCTGTAAACTGAAAGCAATTAAAGAGACTTCAAGTTAACTTTTGAATATTTCTAATTTTGGTATACTTCATTTCCATTTAGCTCTATTTTAAATATTTTCTAGCAAGGTTTTTGCATGTTGGTTGTATGGCCTCATGGACTTTTTTTCATGCTTTACATGTCAAAGTAGTAAGACAGTATTGTAGCTTTCCAGTTGATCTGATTTAGAATACAATTTTCCTCCTAAAATGCCCCCAGAGGAGAGAGAATAGTTGGACAATTCTATTCAGAAGAATTCAATTTATTTTATGTTTTCTCAGTATAAGATAATTTACTTTTTAGTGTGAGCTTTATTTTTAAATTGTCTGATCGGTAAAGTGTGCTAATAGATATATCTGCACGTTCCTTTTTTCTCCCTTGCTCAAGTACTTTATTAGAGAGGGAAGCCTCAAAGTGTAAAAATGACTCTCGTAATATTTCTGTACCACAGCTACGAGGAGAGCAGAAACAAAGGATGGAAATATTTAAAGCACAGGAGTCTGGAGGACGCAGTAGTGAATCCTGTATGTTGAAACAGTTCAGACTTTTAAGGCAGCAGAAGAAATGCAGACTGTAGATCACAGTTACAAATTTAGAAGGATAAGTTGAGTTGTTTGTTTGTTATCCTCTCAATATAGGACAAGCAGCGCTACAGGAAAAGCCCGATTGAAGTTGACAGATCAGAGGAGGTGATGGGAAATGGTTTAGAGGAGGTTCCTTTGGCCACAGATTCTATAGGAATATGTGCAGAACTGGGGAGTTCGCTGCAAAAGATTTTGCCTCAAAAACATGTCTAATTTCATTTTTAAAACCCTTCCAGTGGAGGTGAAACTGTCTTGTATCTGTGTATTATTTAACCCCAGGAGGGTTTCATAATGGACATCAAAATAGATGAGTTGTGACAGACACTTCCTGAAGTCTGCAGTAGCGTTCGCACTCAGGATGCAGTGACCATCACTGCAGAGAGCTTCCTCTATTTCTTCTCAGGTGTCTGGTTAGGATACATTTGGTGTCAGTGAGAAGATTGGGTCATTATGCAAGCCTCTTCCACATTAAGGAAAAAAAGTGAAAAAGCCTCTCATTTAACCTTATCTATTTAAATGGAGACTGCTTCACAGTACACATAATTGAAATGTTTGACACTGGAACACTAATTTTTAAAATTGTACCCCAGAATTCACTGGGTTCTTTTTGGTTGTTGTGAGTATATGTTGTATCTGCTTCGTTGTCATCTTCACGTTAACCTTACGTCAGATCAACTATTCGAGTTCTGGTCATTTCAGCACTTCTTTTCCAATTCTCTGTCTGCGCTTGTTTCTTTTCTTCAGATACCTGTGATGTTTCTCATCAGCTTTTCACGAACATGACGTGCGTGCTGATACTCTGGTATTGGATGACTTGTCATACGGGCTGCTCCTTTTGCATTGCATCTTACAAAAAATGTTGAATTTCTTGCCATAATTTTACAAAATTCTGAACTCTAGCTTTTAGACCAACTAGTTGTGTTTTTTTCCTTCTTTTTTTTTCAGTTCTTCATTTCCTTTCTTAATTGTCCTTCAGTGGTTAGTACAAGAAGCAATTTAACTTCATTTTTTTCCACAGAGTTGTTATTCCTGTTTCCAAGGGATCTCAGCGCCCTGTTCATAAGGTGATTAATGAACAACTTGACAATTTCTTTACAATTCTAGACGTGTCTTTGGGTTGCTGCAGTGTCCTGATATTATTTAAGATCTCATTCTTTTTAAAACTGCTGTCAGGTGCCCATTTGTTTTATTATTCCAGATGCTGTGTACAAATCGCCATGACGTTCCTGCGCCAAGATCTGTGTTCCATCACAACTGCAAATAACGAAGTTGCTGTGCTTCTTTTTCTTTGGTTGTTAAAATAACTGCTGTTTGTCATGTAATATCGAATCATCTTTCATTTCTTTAAATCTGTATTAGAAACCATTTACAGGTGAAGGTGGTGCTTTTGTAGGATGTTAAAGATGGTCAGGCTTCATCATTTTGTTCAAGTTCTTTCTCCCCTAAAAGGTAATAGCAAGTATCTGGCAGTAGTGGTGGTGGTTTCTCCTTTACTCCCTGTATGTTGTTTTCCACCTGATTTTCAGCCTTCCCTTTTTCTCCCAGCCCTTCAGTGCCAACTTGGAGTCTTTCGAGTATCAGGTGTTTTTGGAGAAGTTGGTGGGTTCTGTAGGTGAGAAAGACAATGCAATTTGTATTTAAATGCTGAGGGACAAAATGTTTTGCTGACATAGACTATGGATAAAAAAAAACCTTTTTTTTTAATGGATAAAAAAACCTGAAGACATCAGATGCTGCTATATCTGCTGCGTTTCAATAGGTTTTTAAGGTCAGCTTTCTCAGGACCTGAGTTACCAGTGGCTACCCAGACGGTTAATAATTGAACTTGAACTTGAACTGCACAGCAATTGGTGGAAAGTTAATGGTTTTGTCCTTTTCTTCTGGAATTGAAGAAAACCTCATATGTAAGTCTGGAATTAGCCTATCAAAGAGGGTTTCAGTTCCGCAGCTGGCACCTTCCAGATCGCTGACAACTTTTTTCCCCCCCCCTCTTGCAGAGCTAACGCAATATTAGTTTCATGTGATGGGGCCCGTTTAATATGCAGTGGAGAAACAGAACTACAAAGAATATAAGATAAGGTGGGAATGTTGAATATTCATTTTTCATGGTTGGAGGGTATTTTTCCTGCGATTCAGTTATTCAAATTAGCTTTGAATTGTAACTCCTATTTAAACAACAAAGACTTAAAGGAACATAACAAATTGTACCAGTTCTGTGAACTTTCCACAGGAAAAGCAGTCTTTTAAGCCTCTGTGAGAACTGGTATTTAGCAAAGGTTCTTAAGAGCATTTATTTACTATCTTTTTTTTTTTTTAATTGATTCCTAGTAGACGAAGATATACTGTGAAGGTCTTTTTTTGTTTTATTATGCATGGTGAAAGTTTGATTAAAGTAAAGTAACCAGCTTCACTATTTTTAGAGAATCAGCTAGGAACCTAGTATTTCCTCTCTCCAGATTTCAGAATGAATGGAGTTTGTGCCATGCACGGAGATTGCTCACCAAGCCTACCTTCCTGCAGTGCTCCCTAGGTGAATGTTTTAGGATGGCCCTTTGAGGACCAGTCTTGTTTTCTGCTTGCACCTTTCTGGCCACTTATTTTTCTGCTACTCTCTTCGAGAATTTGTTGTTGTCTTATGCTTTAATGTCCCCTTTGGTCTCCCTTTTCTTGGTCCTGTCATTGCAGCTGTGTCAGTGTTTCCCTCTGTGTAGGTATAAACCCAGTTATTCTTTTTGTGGGGATGTTCATAAATATAAGCTGCTTCTCATCTTGTCTGCCATGGGTAACTCAACATCCAGGCATACAGACGTGTGTGGGCAGATAAAATTGTTAATGCTTTTGTTTGTCATAGCTCCTCAATGTATTTAAATTCTGAAATGATGCACTTTAGTACATCTTTACTTTATATTTTTAAGTGGATTAAAATCCAACTTCCTCACCATTCCAATTATGTGCTTAAATATTTTCAGCCCCAACCTGTGGTTTTTCCGTAGTTTGCCACCTGTAGAGAGACACCTGTTACAGTGAGAAGTCCTCGTGCTTAATTTCCACAGATTATCTGTCCTCCCCTAGGTTATTTCTGAGTTGGAATGTACTGCCTGACGTGAGTGATACTGTTCAACACTAAGAAAAACTAGCCACAAGAATCTTCAAGCCCTTGGAGGTACATTTCCAAGGTTATTTTAACATCTAGTTAAGTATTCTTGCTACTTCTTTTACAAATAGGACTAAAAAAAAAATGAGACTTACGGTATTTCCTAAAATGCTGGCCTTGAAATCAAACTATGTTTGGTTTTAAAATGTTTCTAGAGGACATTCTGATTCTTTTTCCAACAAATACATTTTCATTTTTGTTGTGTAGTAACATTAGTAACACTAGTGACAGAACTGATGGATTCTGTATGTGGCCGATGATAAAAGTTCAATTTGTGTCACTTTTAACTTGATCCCCATTTAATGAAATGAGAAAATTTCTGAAAATTATTGCAAATTAATAATTGTAAATTAATAATTTTAAAGTAATAAATGCACGGAATAGCTCCTTCTGCATTTGGTAACCAAAGGGCTTGCTGTCTTGAATGGAAAGGGTTTTTCATGACTGTTTTCACATCCGTATATGATTTTCCTTCATAGATTACTTGCTGTCTGCTCAGTTTCCAGTGAGCAGTATGCTGTGACAGAACCCTTTTCTCCGGTTCAGCATGAGATTGATTACCCTGTGTGTTCCAGGGACTGCTCGTGTCTCCAGGCATAAATTCTGCCCTGCATTTTCTCATGCTGCTGCTTTTGGCACTGTGGTGCAGCAGTAAGTAATAGCATGGGGCAGGGCTCGGCATGTCATGCATGCAGCCGTATGTCACAACAAATGGCTTTACAAAAGCCACTGATATGATCCACAAGGCAGAATTTTTGCTCTGTGAAATCTTCCTGGGAAGGAAATCTGGCCATCATGTCTGAGCTGAAATACAAAACATAAGGCTACCAGTTGCTGTCATGTCTCCCATGAAGTCAGTGGAAAATACAGTAAAGCTTCTTTCTCTCTTTAATAATTTAGTAAGTATTAGTGTTCTACTGTTATTATTTACAGTAATGCAGTAGTAAGAAAATATGTAAGAAAAACTATGATTTGGGGGAAAAATAGATGGAAAAGCCTTAAAAATGTTATCATCATTGGGTTTGCAAAAGCTTACATGAGAGTTGCTTTATATATGCTTTGGCATATATCTGGTTTTGTTATCTAGGACTCATTAGTATGTCCTTGTCCCTGAATCAGGCTCCAGATTTGATTCAAATGTAAAGCAGCATATGCTTCCCCAGAAAGCAAGAGCAGTGCAGAGAACTTGGTGCAATCACATGGAAAATAATTACAGTTCCAGGACTTGAGGATCTTGATTGTTTTTGGCTTTTCTATGGAAGAATTGTAGTTTGGATGACAGCCCAGTACAGTTCTGGTGTTAGGTGCACATCCTTGCACCCTGATTTTAGATGTCTTCCATTATTCTGTCCTGGAAGGGGTGGTTCTGCTGAAAGGTAATAAATACTGAAATGCCCAACAGTCTTAATACGTGTTTTTAACCTGACCAGGCTGATGGCTTTAAAGCTTCCTTCCATTGACAGCGTGCCTGCCTGTTTTGCTGTTCCTTAGCAGAGGTTTGCAGCGGTTAAACAAGTCTGGGAACTGTGATCTGTGCTCACTGCCTGTGCTTTCACTGTCATGTGCTTAGAGTAGGAGGTGAGTGAGGAAGGGCAGGGGAGAGATACAAGGTGTATGTTGACAGGGACCTGAACTGGGACACGAGGCCACTCCATGTTCCATGGCTGCTGTACCACCAGAATGGAGCTAGTAAGTTCCTGGCTTCCATAGGTCTTCTAGGTGCAAAATCCGTCAACAGTTTAAACAGTTAAAAGATTGGAGGCTGGTGTAAAGGACCATATAAAAAACTGAGAAGATGTTGTTTGTCCTTACAGAAGGGGAGCTAGGGTTGAAAATTCTGGAATTCTGGATTACCCTCAGAGTTTCAAGCCAGACTGTGGTAGAGGAAACAGATGAATGATTGTCTTGTATGTTCCAGGGCCTTTGTGCTGAAGTAGTCCTACCTCTTTATTAAGTGCACCTCAATTTTGCATCCAAAGAAAAAGGAGAGGGAATCTCAGCATGGCATGTTGGGACTGAAGCAGGCAGGTAATTCAGCATTCTTTCTCAGCAAAAAAAAAAAAAAGACATCTCTTTAAACCAAACCTAGTTCCACCCCAACAACTGCCTTAAGTCATGCTCGGTGCTTGGTGGCTGTCGTTTGAGTCATGACAAACTAGCTGTCAGCTCCTTGTTGCACTGCAACCCAGACCAATTTTTTCTTCTCTCATTTTCTTGGCTGCCAGTGTCACGAGGGGTGTGTGGGTGTTGAGAGAGCTCAAAATCCAAACAGGAATGTGCTTTGATGTGAAGGTTTAGGGGTAGGTGTGGAGGTAGAGGATATGGGCACACAAGACAGCCTTCAGCAGAGCTACTGACCAAGCATCTGATTTTTCCAGGTAAACAAGAAAGTGCCAGTAGCTGCCATCTAGCAGAGTGAATCCCTCTGTATCAAGGAACAGGGGATGCATTGCAGACTGATGAACAATGCGAATTTTAGCAGTTTCCTTATAAATGAAAGCTCGGGAGATTTAGGTGTAAAGTTTAAAGCAAAAGCACCATAGTAAGGTTGTCCGAAAGGAGTAAAGGAGCACAAATGCAAAGGTAAATCACTTCCATACACAGTTCTTAGGCTTGTTACCAACAGTGGTTTTTTTTTTCATCTAATGTTTGGATGTTTTTTTGCCTTGTTTTTTGCTCTTTGACAATGTAGTGGGAAGTAGGGAATGTGCTTCCTCTGTTGGCCTGGATGGTAACAGACTAGCAATCACTAAGCCCTGTGAACTTGTTAATTGTTACCGTGGATGAAGCTAAAGAAACATTTAATGTTAGATAATTGGATCTGTCTGAACACAGAGATTTTCCTTGCAGTGCTCACAACAACACCCTTGAAAATATATTTGTGGTGGGCTATCGCTGTGCATTAGGGGGAGAGCAGACACATTTTCAGCTCCATTTGTTGTAACTGCACAGTGATTTCATGGCCATCATACAAGCTAAGCTGGTGCTGGTTGGTTTTGTTCACTTAGTAGTGACAGGGCTGCAGCTGCTTATTTTTAACTGTAACACTTTCGTGACTGGTAGGAGGAAAGTCAGTGTATTACCTGATGTAACTTCTGAATCTTCTTGTCCACTAGAATGTCACCTTTCCAAGTGGTGTGCATGGTATTGTGAATGTTGAGTGTGAAAGTTAAATTAAATGAGAGTTCAAAGGCTCATGGTAAGAGTCAGTCGCTTTAAACTGAAGAAGACAGGAGTGAGGCAGGACAAGGGAAGCCCTCTGGTGTGGGAGCTGCCTTCAGGGTGAGCAACAACGGGCTGTTCTTGGTGAAGTACAGAGGCTTTGTCTGAAACACTGCTTTCTCCTCCTCCTTTGTCCTCTTTATTTTGTTAAGAGTGCAGAAAGGAGCTGATGAACTGAGCAACAAGCTCAAATGTGCCTGGGAAAGCAAATGGCTTTCACCATTTTCCAGAACACCTGAAGGGCATCTGTCAGTGGCGGACAAAGAACAGAGTTGCGTTATGGAGAGGAGACTGAGAATAAAACAAGCCTCCCTCTCACACTGCTGGTCACAGAGACTAGCAGATCAGGTGGTAGTCTGCTCCAGCGTACGATACAGGACAGACCTCTGATGTTTTTACTGATCTGCTTTCACGTTCCAAATATTGAAGTGGTGTGGTTCTATTACAAACAGCGTGGTTGTTGCTGCTTTGTGACTTCACTGTTAAATAGAGGTAGCCTTTTGCTTATATCGTTTGAGGGAAGTCCTCCACTACCACTGGAGGAGCTTTTCTTGCTTTCTTATCACCATTGTTCATCAGTTGACAATGATACCATGTGGGAGCAGTTTCTGTAGGAATGCGTGTAGGACTTCTGCCTTGTAAGCCATCCTCCAGGGTGCTGTGTTTCTCCTGATGGTGGTGGTAGCTGTCGAGGTACAGGACAGAGCTGGGGGGATTGCCAGTGAAAGTGCTTTAAGCGTGGTGCTTTGTGATGCTACAGCATACAGACAATGATCGTTCAGCATTTGTTGCTTTAAATGGCCAAAGAGGGCATTGCTTCTTCGTCAATTGTGAGAGGTCTGCTGAATTTCTACAGTTGAGTCAAATGAAACAGAAAATAAATTAAATCCCTCTTTTGCTGCCTTTCTTGGCTTGCTTATACTCTCAGCTGGATTCCCGTAAAGTAAGACTACATTTAGGAGTAAAAAGCTTCTGTTTTCTTTCAGAAACCCTCCCAATCACATATTTCTTTCTCATCAAAGAGTTTTTTTTCGCCACCTGATTAGGTTTGAAGTTCTCAGAATTTCTGTGAAGATTGCTTGGGAAGAGACAGAACACTATAAATTGTTGCTAAAAATACAATTTTTCTGTAACTGTCATAACAACATTTGGGCTAATTGATTCTCAGTAGAATAATGACATCCAGTATGTAGTGAGAAATATTCATGAAGGAATCTGTGAAAACCTAGATCTGCCTTACTCCCCCAGTATCTCAAGAAAATTCATTAGAGTCCTCTACTTAAGAAGAATTAAAAATAAGCCATCATTAGAGATTCTTTTCAGTCTGATTTGAGGACAGTTGGAGTTCCTTTAAGTGTCAGTGAATTTAGATTTGGCAGAACTCCAGTTCCAACAGGGTTTTTTTCTGCATATGCTCTGGGAGAAGGCCAGAGGATCTTAGAGAGTGTAGATGAAAGGGAGAATTGCGGTGGAAGGGGAGAGCAACAAGCAGAAAGCTGTAGCCACGGGAGGATGTAGTGGCTGGCTGTAAAGTTACCCGTTTAGAAAATGGGATGGTTGAGGCAACTGGTAGGTAGACTTCAGGAAGGTGGACTTAAGCCACTACTAGTGTCTCGCTGTGTGATGTGTCTGAAGATTTCCTTGTGTTCTGTGGGCTCGGCAAACTGTGTGTCATTTTGCAGCTGCTGTGCAGCTCCTATTCCGTGTGATTTCCAGTGCCAGGTCTGTGTGCAGGACTGCGTGCTCGCTGCAGACGTGGAGATGTGGCAGCTGTGTCAGGGAATCTTCAGAAGTCATTCACCACGTGAAGGCAAAGCATGAAGAACTTGATGGAGTTCTGGTTGCAGAACAGAAGAACCCAGAGCGCCAGGGTGTTGTCACTGAGCTGTGGCAGTAGGGTATCTCTGCTTCGTGGTGTGATCCACAAAGTGGTTTGTCAGGGGGTGATCCAGATGGATCTGAATGTCCTCTTCAGCCAAAACATAGGGACGTTTCCCTTCTTCTCTGCAACTGTGCTTGCTGGTGGACAAGGCTAGATGGAGAGCAGGGAAGATGCAGGAAAAACAGGGAACGTAA